ATAGTCTAAAAAATTACAAAACTGGGCACTGACCGAAAATGCCAATTTTTCCAAAAAGTGAGCAATTCCACTAAGATATTTTGCTTCATATCTTGATCCTGAATTAATAAGAACTAGTAGGAAAAAGAAAATTGACAGGTTAAATCAGATATTCAAAATAAAATTTAATCAAGAGAAACATTTTAAAATTTCAATATGACACAATAATCAGATTTCACTATATGAGAGTGATTGTGCTGATGGTTTCACAGGTATATGTGTAGGTCAACATTCATGAAATTGTACACTTTGCTTCCACTCAGGGTACAATTCATAATTGGCATGCTAACTACAACTAACAGTCAACTAAAGCATGTGCATGTTAAAAATGCGGGACCACTCACAGCACCACAACAGTACTTACTTCCTACTGTACAAAACTGTCCAAACTTATTCTGAGATGCCACGTGAAGCCCATTATCCAATGTGGTTACTTTGGTTTCAAACTTTTCTTGTCCATCAACTGTAGCAAAAACAGGCTTGGGTACTCCAGGTAAAGGAGAAGAGAGGGGGATGTTGGGATAGGCACCACCACTGCTAAACCGTCTGTACGCAGAAGGTCCAAACCTAAAACAGAGAAAGCGGCCCAGTTGCAACAGGCTTGAGACAACGAACCTGTGATGACCTCTTAGGTGCAGTTAGTTATGTTTTGTCTGGGTTAAAAGTAAGTATCTGCCTTTCTAAAGGACTTATTTCTATAGACTTTGGAAGACAAAGTAGAGGCTGACCACAAAGGCTCAGCCACGGGACCTGGAGCAAGCTGGTTCCATCCTTTGGGTCTTCGTGCTATTTCTGTAAAATAGGACTTATTAACAGTAACCCACTCGAAAGACAGTTTGTACACATAAAGCACTAAACGGCTCTGCCCTCCAACAGCATCACTGAAGTCTTAGAACCCTTATTAACCTGGTCCGAAGGTGGGGTGTGACTTGGTCTCTATCTCCCTCTCCAAACTCATCTCTTGAACCCCCACAGCCCCATAGGTCCTGGTCACACTGATTCTTCTGTCAATTCCTGGAACACATTTGATTCATTCCAAAGCTTCTTCACCCCCAAAGCTTCTTTGCCCTTTGCCCATGCCTACCACTTCTTTCATTCTTCAGCTCTTCCCTTAAATGTCACCCTGATGGAGGACTATCCCTCATCACTCTAGTCTTTCCTGTTATTTTCTATCACGAAAGGCTGCTTGTTTACTCCAAAGCATTTACGCGATTGCCGATATTTTGTTCACGCTCCAGTCTGTATCCATCTCCTGGAGGCAGCACCTTCGCACCCCTGAAACAGCGCTCGTTGTGTGGGGAGGGGCGATGCCTGTGCTGTCGGAACAAAGTTCCAGCGTGGGGAAAGGCAGGCCCGGTCACTTGGGCGGGAGGGGCGGTGGGGACGGAAAGGGTTCTTAAACGTCAGAGATCAACGGACGCTCAGAGCGCATCAACCGAGAGCCTGGACCCTCGTGTCCGAACCCTGCGGGTCTAACAGAGCTGGGGCCCCACCGGCTCAGCCTCCTGAGGGAGCACGCGGCAGAAGCATAGGGGCAGCGATGAAGCATGGCCTCGGACAAGGCCCGTCGACCCGGGAGGTGAGTGGGGGGGAGAGGACCCAGAAGCCGGGGAGAGAGACAGATAGGACTGCATCCCCGGGCTTGAGGCGCAAGGCAAGGCAGGGCCCCCGTCGCCTCGGGGACCACACCAGTGTCCCGAAGTGCGAGCCCGTCGAACGGGCGCCATGTCGCCTGTAGAAACCAAAGACGGAGCGTCCAGAAAGACTCAAGCCGCCCCGGTCCCAGGCTGAAGCCTGGTTCGCCTTTGGCTCACCTCAGCCGCGAGCCGCTCCAACAACCCGACCCCCGCAGCAACCGCGTAGCCACGAGCACCACAGCCGCCATCTTGCGTCTCCGCCCCTGCTTCTGTCGTCACTTCCGCTTCCGCCCGCGGATTCCCCGCCCCCTCGGCGACAACCCAAGGCGTTCCGGCGCGCGCTTCCGGTGCTCGGAGCGGAAGCAGCGGCAAGAGGCTCGGAGGAGCGGGGACG